TTCAGACAGGTGAAAAGGTTAGAACAAAACAGACGAAGAGTGAAGTAACTTACAGATGAGACAGAACAAGCAGCTGAATGAGATGATCCCAATTAACTGTACACGATCACCAACACTTTCAAGCGAGGGTATCTCAACATTGATGATGGAAGTCATAACTCTGAAAGCCAAGCCTAATCTAACAAACCAAGTAAATATTCCATCAGGAAATAAAGGTAGTGATGTGACAACAGATATGCTTAAAACAGAGGAGGCATTAGTATCATGGAACATTGAGTGTAGTGAATGTATTGAACGCTGGTCATATTGCCATTCTATTCAAGAGCTCGTGGGACTTTTAAAGCTGGCGAATGGCAAGAAATGATGACAAGCCAGCAATAATAAATCAACCAACCATGATACCAAGGCATGCAGATTGTGATGGCCATGTCTGTGTGATATGATATTATCACGTAAGTCAATGGAATGTGAAAAATATCGGAAACATTGAGACAGTTTGAAAGTAACAATGGTTCAACTACTGACAATATAGAGTAGCGTAATTTGCCATCGATGGATTTCCTATGCTCGCCATGTGATTCCATATTATATGAACCCTTTAGGTACTAAGAAAGTAATGACAATCAATATACAAATATAATATAATGCATGTTTTGGACAATGATGTTGAACATCAAATAATTCATTATTACTAATAATAAACTATTATAATGACAGACAATACAAAAGAAAGATACATTAAGCATACTGAGCGAGAACCAATCAACACAAAGCTCAACAAATACATACCGTTTACCACTAATATTTAATTGAGCATTGCATTATATTAACAGCGAACTCATTAGGACATTATTAACAAATAAGAGTATGAGGTATTGTATAGTAAGGTTGACATCGGTTAAGTTTACTGCTCATGCTTTGTTTTGTAATGCTTTTGGGAAGGGGAGGGTCACCTTTAAAATTCATATATTGTATGTATATACATGTATGTACCATTATATGTCTTACTTTTTATTTTCTATTTTCAACTTCTTACTTGTCAATTCGTATATTCCACTTCTATCATTACAATCTACACTTCATATTATACATTTCCTGGTCCTCGCGTTTTTACTTTTACTTTCTTGTTTTAACAACTCGTTTTTATCAAAGTGTTCGTCAAACTTAAACTTACTTAGCTTGTAGTGTTTTCCATAATTGTTTTTTTTCTGCTTTACTAAATGACATTATTCAAGGATAGTTTTTAATTATTATTTTATGTGTTTTCCCCAATTTAAAATCACTTTGAGTGATTTATAATTAAACGCATTAAGTGTTTTTCTTAAAATCGCAAATGAGTTGTTTTACAACATCACTGTTTTACTGTTTTGTGATAAAACATGTAAAGCGTTTATAAGCTTGTTCCACTTTAAAAACTTTTAAAGTGTTTATTATCTGCATAATTATAAACATAGTGTATATTATGAAAAAAACTTTTATTGGAACATTTCAGAAATGTTTTTGCATATAATACATTATGTATTTTTTTTTCCATTAGAAATACGTTTTGAAAAGTGTTTCCAAAAACATGTATAAAGAAGCTTATTGTTACAACACTTTTAAAAGTGATTTTATTAGTCACACATTTTGTAAAGTGTTTCCACCAGAAACATATATTGAAAAGTACTTATAAAACACAAACTGAGTATTGACAAGTGCTCGTAACAGAAACACATTTTAAAATTGCAGTATTGTACAGTAATCATAACAAACGATAAACAAATGACATCATCAAGTTAGTATTTTCCCCTAAATATAAACATTAATCACGGTTACTAGAAGAACAGTTAGAAAACTGTATTGTTAGATATGCTAATTATCCATTGCCTTCACTTTGCTATCTCCGTTCGTTCCCCATGTGTGTATACTAAATATAAGAAATGGGGCTCATTAAGCCTAAAGATCGACGTAGAAACATCTGTGCGAATGTTGTGTGATACTCAAGGTTTTGTTGTTCTCAAAAAAATGAAAATACCGATAGTTTGTTTTGTTGACAGATTTGCCGTCAGTGAATCGAAATTGACCATGGCATTTTGTACACCAAAAACTCTGTCTGCGAATATTCTAAAATGTTAGTATTCGTTACTACGTTATTGTTTGGATATTTTAATGTTGTGTTACGATCATCATAATTAATTCCAATCGTAACTTTAAAAATAACGCTTTTTTGTTGAGGTTGGCGACGTCACCCATCTTGGCTGCCTTTGTCGGGCAAATTGCTGAACTCGGGTTAAATTCTATTTTAGTACAACACATTGTTGAATTAATATTTATAGCTTACATTGTTATAATTTCTGTAGGTTAAATACTAGGATGATGTAGAAAATGTTAATCGTTTCAGTCTGTGTCTGTGTCGAAGTTTGTAGACATTTTACTCCCAGATAGCAATGTAGGCAGTCTTGTTATTTTTTCTCCTGGCCGCTGCAGTGTAAGTGACACAGGAAGTTGTATGGTTTCATAGTGCAGTTTAAATCTGAATATATATATTTGTTGTTATTTCCGTGTTCATATTCCTACTAAATCCTATGTAAATCGGGAAAATTTGTTACGAAAAAAAAAACATTACAGAAAACCCCAATATGTAATTTTATCCAAATTACGATCGCCGTGACGTCACAAATTACGATCGCCGTGACGTCAGCAGTATGCTAATTCCCTTTGTTTTAAATGTTTACCGACAAACGCATTCTTACAAAAGAAGCGAGAGAGTTTCTTACTTCTAGTAACCGTGCATTAATAAGGTAAGTTATTACCTTTACATATGAAACATATATAGTTGTTGTAAAAGATATTATCAATACAATACCCAATATTTGTGAACATTGACACTTCAAAACAGATGAGTAATGAACTGAAACGAACAATAACATCTTTGAACCCTTTCCTCACTGACATAAAAGAAAAGGCCCAATGTGGTATTGTTGTCTAGAATGCCGTGTCTCCGGGCACATCAAATTACCGTGCAATGTAGTATGCGGGGAGTGTGGTATTTTAAAACTACATTTACCTATTAAACCAGTTGTGTTGATAGTAAATAATACACATGTTTTTAATTACAACAGTCTGTTGACTATATTCCTAGTTTTGATAACCATGCATCATTCACGCTGTTGTACATGTTGGGTATGAATTATAAATGTACTTGTATCCATGACAACATACATATTGTCCCATGTATGCGATAATTTAACAATTGAGACACTATAAATAAATACAAATGTTTTATTCATACATTAGACAAAATGAGTTACATTATATTATTTATTTATTTTCCACAAATCGATTTGAAGTGTGTGGCACGAAACTGGAATCCTCGTTGAAAGATAGCCACAAGTCACTTACCACTTAATGACTGTGGGTTTAGCATATCGTACTACATGTTTTTAAATTAATAATAAAGGATAGTCCAGGGTTATTGTGCCATTCCATAGTAACACCACTGGAAATCAGGAAGTTGTTTGGAGCTAAGCCCTCGGAAAACCCCTCTATGTTTGGATGTTATATATACTTGTATCATATTTGCAATTCAGTTCAGTTTGACATATTTTTTTGTGTACGCACCGATAGATGACATGGTTTTCACTCCCAATTAATTTATATTAATGTTTAAATATACAATTACGCCCCATGGCAACGAGACAAAATGATGACGATGGCGATGTAGACATTGAGAATTCTATTCTCTGTCTAGAATGACTTCGTGGCGATTTTTTATCTAATTAAAAATCGACGTACGTAGTCCACACAATTTAAATCATGCGAATGACCTTATCGAATTATGATTAAGTCAATGGTCTGCTTGAGTTCTTGATACGTTTGCATTATAGAATTAATGTAATTATGTTAAACGTTAGGCACTGCAAATTCTAATTAGATAATTACTGATGCACGCTTTAAATATGTAGTTTATATCTATATTAGCCCAGGGGTACTCGGGTATTATAACCTCTGCTTAAAAAAACAATAATAATATTTATGTAATTGCATATAAATATAAAAGAAATATACATTTAAACAATCCTAAATTGTGCAGCTAGTATGTAATGTAAACTACAGACAAATAGATAAACATATAAACACAAAACAGGGGTTTCCATTCATTTTGACTTATTGTACCGAGCAAAATATAATTGCACAAAAAGATGAAAACCGACACAAAGCGAGTTTGAAAAAAAAGTATTTACAAACATCTTCGGATTCTTACGAGACAGTCCCACATAATGCACCAATTCGATAATATGTTCAATGTAGACCATTTCAAGGTTTCTGATTTTCTTTTTGATTATGTCTACAACACGTAGTTTCTACGCTCGTTTTAAGTATGATATATATGTACATGGTCACCACCTCATGCATACAAACGGTCGCATTACAAGGTGAGCGATGGGAGCACTAAGACGGTCGGGTAACAAGGTGAGTGATGGTAGCAATAAGACGGTCTAATTATAAAGTAAGCGATTTTCTCATTTTATGTCTCAAATCATAGTTTCGGGATACAAATCATGCATCTCAATGTATTTTAGCTACTTGGCATCGATGAACATGCTGATCAACGACCACAACGTTCGAAAATGTCTAAATAAACCTATAGGTTGTTAGTGTCAGCAATACGCTGTACATTGGAATACAAAACGTCCATCCAAAAATGTAAATAACTGGAAAACTGGAGTGTTCTCTAAACTCTGGCAGTAACAAATTGATCAGATAGAGAAATGGATGGCAAAGTTGTATATTCAGATTTAGTCTGCACATGAAAACGACACTGACCTGCATGAGATGACGCCATATTGATATGGAGCTTATACAGGGTTCACCGCTAATTGGCGTTCACCTAATATGTGCTCATGTGAAATGCATTGAGTTTGATGTTGTGCAAAGGGTCGGCGTAAATTAAAGATAGGTTAAAATAAGAGATTGTTAAATGAAAATAAAAACAAAGTTAGTGTGTTGGTGGCAATAAGATGGTCATGTTACAAGGTAAATGTAATATTAGTAATAAGACGGTCGTGTTACAAGGTAAATGTGATGGTGGCAATAAGATGGTCGTGTTACAAGGTAAATGTAATGATAGTAATAAGATGGTCGTGTTACAAGGTGAATGTGATGATAGTAATAAGACGGTTGTGTTACAAGGTGAATGTGATGATAGTAATAAGACGGTCGTGTTACAAGGTGAATGTTATGATAGTAATAAGACGGTCGTGTTACAAGGTGAATGTTATGATAGTAATAAGACGGTCGTGTTACAAGTTGAATGTGATGATAGTAATAAGACGGTCGTGTTACAAGGTGAATGTGATGATAATAATAAGACGGTCGTGTTACAAGGTGAATGTAATGATAGTGATAAGACGGTCGTGTTACAAGGTGAATGTAATGATAGTAATAAGACGGTCGTGTTACAAGGAGAATGTTATGATAGTAATAAGACGGTCGTGTTACAAGGTGAATGTGATGATAGTAATAAGACGGTCGTGTTACAAGGTGAATGTAATGATAGTAATAAGAAGGTCGTGTTACAAGGTGAATGTGATGATAGTAATAAGACGGTCGTGTTACAAGTTGAATGTGATGATAGTAATAAGACGGTCGTGTTACAAGGTGAATGTAATGATAGTAATAAGACGGTCGTGTTACAAGCTGAATAATGGTGGCAATAAAACGATCGTTTTACAAGGTGAGTGTCATGGTGGCGCTCACCCGTTCGTCTTACAATTTAAGTCTAAGAGTAGTAATAAAGTCGTAATCTCAGCGATTCCCCGAATGATTTAGAATTTTAAACTAATTACATTCCATGTATGTAGTCTATGATAGCCGTAGAATGCAAATGATCATTATATCGATTGCTAGTAATTACTTTGATGATCAACAACTTGTTATTCTATTTGAGTTCTTGATGGCAATGTATTTTTAACTGAAATGCAAGTCGTGTACGCCTACTAATATATGTAATATGTTGCAAACGAATTGCATAAAACGCACATCATCAAATTATAATATACACATTAAGTCAGCATGTGAATTGAATGATTTACGAAATACATAAAGATTTATCTTTGTCATAAACAGATTACTCTATCTTCAATATGATGGTCCAAATATTTGTATTTTCGTGTAGGTCTCTCTATATTTTTTAATAATTTTGAACCAATATGTCTGAAAGTCGTGGACTGACATACTTTGTGTCAACACTGTTTTTATTTGAAAGATAAACTTTTGAATGAAACTATTTTGTGACAAGTGTCTGAGCTGACAATAGCGATGAAAGGTTAAGTAGCATTAGGTTTAATAGGTTGTTATTGTGCTCCAATGTAACAGACTAATCAGAAGAATGTATATTTGTACGTGCATGGTCTGACATAAGGAAGCTGACAATCTAGCTAACACACATTTGACGACATTAGGCTCTAAACATTATGTATCAACTTTTTAGAAATACCCGGTGGACAAGAATATATACATTAATTTAAATAAATGTGTCGAGTTTCCATTTGATAAGGATAAAAATATAGATTACAACTTACCTTAAATTAAGTGTTGGAAATTGGGAATGATTCAACAATAAGTATTATTTTGTCCACCCCTTGTGGCATTATCAAATACTCTGTTTTCTGATTTCCTTTTTATTCAATGCTATCCACGAATAGATGGTGGGATGAGAAAGCGTCATAATGACATTCAGTAGCGTGTTTTACAATCTAACCTCGAGATAATAAACGAAATAGTTTTAAACGCATTTTTATTTTGAACAAAACGAATTACAAAAGTTACAACTACAATGTTTTCTAAAATATCTCAAGATAATAGTTGTATTTGTTGATATTGTATGAATTCTTTGTATAGGCTTCTAGCATGACTAACGTAAACAACGTTTTTTTCAAATCGCACAATGTCGTCATCACGGCGTCACGTTCGTTACGTACACGAATTCCATTTGTTTTTTTAGAACTACAGCCACCCTGTGCATTAAGGTATACGGGATTTGCTCACGGTGATGACCTCGTGTTGATTTATGGTTTTAAAATTCAGTTTTGGTTTATATCGATCGCAGTTAATAACATGAAACGATCTGTGAACATGATGAGAATAGTACGGTGTGTATACCATTATCCCTGGGATATCCCACTGCATATATTGTAATAGTTATTATCAGTTAGTTGTATGAATGATGTTTGCGCTGTGTTGTGTTGCTGTGCTTGCTTTTCCTTGGCGAATTAGAAATTAGGATTGCGATTTGACATGATGTTATGTTTACATTGTAATTCCTTACATATAGAACATCCTAGGTTTATAGTAATTGTCGCCAATTGTCACGATAAACTCGCATCTAATTCAGCAGGCAATTAGATGGAGTAATTGTCATGCCATCATCAAGATTGCCTCGTAGAGATAAAAAGTCATCAGTTCAGAGATATACATCTTAGGTTTTATTGTTGTTATTTGTAATGAATTGTCGACGTTACGGCAGACAATTTCCCGGTACGTTTCTATGATTGGAATAAACTGGCAACTTCAACGCGCTGCTTGTAAACCGATTGCAGATATTCAGCACACTACAATAAACCACTACTGCGAGAGGCGTTCACAGTTTATGAATGAAATGAACGAATTAGTTATTTTTTATTTATATAATGGACTGTGTGATGAAATAATAAGTATATAATTTACTGAACACATACGATTATCGAATATATGATATATGTCCTGGTGAGAACCTATGTACATCTATCCTTGCCAACAATGCGCTAGAGTTGTATTATACACGCCTCATGCAAACGTAGATCAATGTCATGGCTAGTATGGGTTTCCAAGCGGAAATAAATCGTTAGAGTATAACTGTTTTTTTTTTTATTTGAAACAGTATGTGGGAAACTTGCCCGCTTATTCTGTCTCTGCCATTGGCCACAATGTCAACAATAATCAACATTTCTGTGTCTTGGCCGATGAATTTAACATTGTCATACTGTCTGCTTTGGGAATTTACATACGTCTAGGAAGTACAGTCACTAACTCTCTGCTTTGGTACATTACTAGTATTGCATTGACCATTTCACCAGAAAGTTTTACGCCAAAAAGTGCAGGTAACCGCTATCTGGCAGTGGCAATTGAAATCGACAGTACACGCGCTAATTAGTGAAGCTTTCCATGAACTATTCGGTAATTAGTAGTTCAAAACAGTATGTGGCCTTGAAATTAAATTCATTCAACCAAGGATGTAAAAGCGATCATCATGTAACATGTGATCAGGGTATTCTACTGAACCAATTTCCACTGTAGGAAACAAACGACCACACGAACCAATAAACGAAGGAATAAATGAATGATTGAATAATTTTTTTGATCTACCATAAAGGAAATGGTTGTGTAGTTGATCATATTTTTGCAAAATCATTCCTTGATGGAGATTTTTTTAAATCATGCAATCTGCTGAGCAAATTGTAAGCATTGGTAATACGTAATCATATAGCAAGGCAGTAGGCGATAACCCTTTGCATTCTTATTCAACAGCGTTAATAAGCTGTAGAGTATACCTGTGTACGGATGTTTAATTGTACACTGTTGATCTGCATGGCTATGTTAGACATTTATTATTGGCTACATAACATTATCAACTTAAGAATAAATTCCTCGTCTATATTTCTCATGAAATTAGAAAAATTGTCAGTATGTTAAGTAAACAGTTAACTGCATGGTATCATTCATTTTGGGAAAAGCTGAAGTTTTTTTTTTTAAATGCGCATTCCAATAAACAAGTGAGCATTTTCATTGGGATTTCAGTCGACAAAGCCAGAATAAACATTTTACATCAGAATGTCCAATGTTTACTTCGCCAGGGTTTTTACAGTTGCCACAACAACCAAGTATTTTAAGTTTCACATATCCGAAGGATGCGATTTTGTTGGGAGGAATTGCCAGAATGGAAGAAATCTGACAACGAAAAAACACTAGCGGTAATAAATTCATACAATCATTGTTGATGTCCCACTTTGTTTTATTTAAAAATACCACGGAAAAGGAAATATACAGGAAGTATGGTTAAATGCCATTTCGGGTAAATAATTGCACATTGTCAATCAAAAGAATAATATATATATATGATATCAAACAAAACATCTTATGTAACTCGCAAGTCATTTGCGTGACTAAAAGTGTTAAAGATGTGTTTTCAAATTATTATAGCGACTTTGACTGTCAGGTAATCCATTTGGACATTGACCAATAATTAGTACATACGCATCTATCTACGCTTTCAGCAGGTATATATTGTCTTAGTACTATTCATAGCAAATTGTATGTCTGAATCACAGATAAATTATTTTCATTCCGTTACTACCTCCATGACTTACCTGGACAACACATCATAAGCAAATTACTCAACAGTTCATTGATTATAATAACCACCTTTGATATCAATAATAGAGTTGTTCAACAAATAAGTGCGGTCATTCACAAAGTGATTCATTCAGTTTAAATGACCTTTCCTACCTTGAAGAATTGTTGTTCACACACATGTGTCATAGAATGTATACACTGTATGATATTCCAGTAATTTATGCATAGTTTTCTCACCTATTTTCATTAACTAGGTGTCATTCCACTGTGAAACTTGCATACATACGTGGACAAAGAAATTTAAGACACGACCACACGAGTAAAGTTGACTCTACAGTACTGTGTCGTAAGGTACATGGAGTACCTCACTCATCAGGAGTTCAGACTTTATTAAATAAACCACCGAAACAGACTACGTTATAAGCGCTACAGATTTACATATCAATGGAGTGGGTTTACGATATTAAAACTAGATTTGGCTCTGTGTCTACAGAAAGAAAAAAGCTCATTTCTTTTATTTAAACTACAGTAATGTGGTTAGAAAATTATAATATATGGCTTTCTAATGCATAAGTTGCAACGTTTCCTTGAAGTATTAAATGGTGCAGCACGCGATAACACTTTCCATTTGATGTCATAATCGATGTTATTGTCTTTTAATGACCAAGCGTATTTACTGTAGGTGATAAATTGTCAAGTGACATAAAACATAGAGATCAATGCAATGGTCTAAATCTAAAAATAACTTTACATATGTGTCTGCCTGAAACATCAAGAATCAGACGAAATAGTTTTGACATACCTCACGACAAGCCCAAAACCGAGAGACATTATGAAAAATGGAGCAAAATAAAAGAACACAATATGTAAATCTGGTAGGAATATTTGGCCAATGTAGTACATGATTAACACTAACCTGTCTTCCGATTCAGTATCGTTAGGCATAGTAACAGGTATACTAAAACCAGCATAAATATATGACATATGTCTGGCATAACGATAATATTTTATAATATGCTTAGTTAATGCATCCAATTTTGATGTAATTTCACACCTCTAGAGATATTATAATCTTAGAATTATTTGCTGTATTCACAGGTGAATAGATAAGTAAATTGATCGAGTAACTATGTATATGGTATCAGTCAGTTATATTATTTAGGTAATCTTCTTTAATCACAACTGAGTATGGAAGTATTTTTTAAAGAAAAATAACTCGACTAATTATGGATAAACGTAGATATTATGTTACGCTAAAACAAAAATATAGTAAACCTATCAAAATCGCCGTTACATTGTGATTCTCGAGCAGCTG